GGCGTTCACAGCTTGCAGAGCACTGAGGACCAAAATATAGGAGAGTGGCAGGGCCTAGCAAAACCTGCTGTTCCCAAGGCCCAAATCCTAGGAAGCTGAGAATTACGGTCCATGCTGGGAATGACTAAAAAGTATTTTTAAGCTATTTGAGAAGCAAGATAAATAAGCAGAGGAGAGCATCATTGCTAGGGAAAAATGTCATGTCATGAGATACCAGCAAGGAGAAATCTTTCGTTCCTCTTTTGCTTTAATCTCAATCATAAATAAGACACTCGGGGGCTGGGGATTTAGCTCAGCGGCACAGCACCTGCCTGGCAAGCGCAAGGTCGTGAGTTCGATTCCCAGGACTGGAAAAAACAAACAAAACAAAAAAAAAAATTTTTAAAAAAAGACATTCTTGTCCTTTTCTCCTTGGCCCTTGTTATGATTTATATCTAGACATCCCTATAAAGCCTCATGTGCTCATAGGCAGGACTTTTGGGAGGTGACTGGATCATGGGGGTGTGATGCTTGTCAGTGGATCTGTCCACTGATGAGTTTATAGCTATAAGTGATGTTGGGAGGTAAAGGGTGGTTGAAGGAAGTGGGTCACTGGGGGTGCAGCCTGGAAGAGTTTGTTTCTCTCCCTACTCTTATTCCATAATCCCTCTCTCCCCGCCGCCTCTCTCTGCTTTCCACCTCCATGCCATGAGCTCTTTCTCCAATGCCATACCCTTCTGCCATGCCTTGGAGCCAGCTGACTATGAATTGAAACGTCTACAAACTGTGAGTCAAAATAAACCTTTCTGCCTTTAAGTTGTGGGTGTTGGGTATTGTGTCTCAGCAACTAGAAAGTAACTAAGACAGCTATCATCACCACTGTCACTAGCAACATTAGCAGCACCACCATTATCAATGTAACTGTTCCCAAAACACAACCATTGGCATTATCTGTTCTAGGCAGTGAACTTCCTAAGAACAGCAAATGTCTTATCCTTGTATATATACAATATGCTGAAACATTTAGCACATGAGGCTATAGAGTTCAATAAACACCACTGAACTGACAAGGGTAAAGACACATCGAGGAGTGGAAAGCATGATGCTGGTAGGAAGGACTAATATACTGGATGAAAAATGTACAAACATTTTTGAGCCAAGGGCAGGAACTTTCGAATAACATACCACCCAATATGTTATATCCTCTAACTGGGATTAGATTCCCCACTATGCTTAGCCATAAACATAACAAAATTTAATAACAAAAGTTTTCTTTTTTTTTTTTTTTTTTTTGGTCTTTTCTTTGAGACAGGGTCTCAGTATGCAGTTCAGGCTGGCCTTGAGCTCGCTTTGTAGCCCAGGCTGGTCTCGAACTTGCAACAATTCTCCTGCCTCAGCCTCCCAAGTGCTGGGATTACAGGCGTGTGCCACCACGCCCAGCAATAACAAAATTTTTCACCAGAGCGCTATTAGCAACAGCTTATGACTCAAAGGACTTGGTGGTGCTTTATACCCATGGAGAGGAGCCTATTCTACAATCAATAGCCTTACTCCAACAAACCTTACCACTCTTTGCTAATTCAGCCTATATACAACCATCTTCAGCAATCCCAATATTTTACATTTTATACATGTTCCACTATTACAGCACAACATTATATACATTATAACATACACGTAAATTGGACATGTTGCCATGGAAAAGATAATACTGTAGAGGTCTGCATACCCTGCAGAGGAAACCACTATCTTAGATGTCAGTACCAGAATAAGTAGTTCTTGAAACAATCCTATAAAGGGAGCTGTAACCAACTCTAGAAGATGAAATATAGATTAAGGTCAAATGTTATATTTGAATTCCCAAACTGAGACCTAGTTGAGCAATTGAATATGCAAATACACTCTTGTAATACCAACACATCACCACCAGATGACTTCTAGTTCTAGTCATTTAATATGGGTGAACTGAGCAACAAGCAGCATTTAAAGAAAAGCCAACCTTGACAATTATTCAAATGAACCAGATGGTGCCCTGTTCCTGCTACTATCACTATTTAGCATTGCTGTATTAAATTACTGTATTTTCTTTCTAGAGATTTCTTGGAACAAAATAAGGTTTCAGAGGGCAAAAGCAATATGTGCCTGCTTCCATCGCTTTTGGAAATGGCCTTAATATCAAGACAGGGAACAATTCTCAATTACTCTAGAGATCTTGCTTCCCATTTGCTAAAAATATAGATTCTCACTTTTCTCCCCACACATCAGGATGGGAGGCAGAAACTCAAGGTGGGCCCTGCCTCTGGAGAATCTGTATTTTTAAAGAAAGCCTCCGCTTCCTCCAGGTGATTCTTTTTGTCAAACAAATTTAGGAACCCCAGCATAATGGTTATCTACCATTATTGTGACCATTGTCATTGCTATTTTGTTACTTCCTGCTAGACCCTGCAGCTCCGTTTCCTGGCCCCAGGGGGCCATGATTATGGAGTCTGCATGCATACTTCCAGTAGAGATGCTGCATTTTCTACTCCTCATTCCCTGGTCGACCTGCTGTCTGTCATCTCCCCATTGGAAAGGCCCAAGCGAATGGACTCACCTGAAGGCTTTCAACTGAAAGTGACTTGATGAGTTACCTATATGTGCTGGCCAGGGATATCTCATAAGTGGCATACAGTAGAGAAATTCATCCTAAATAATGACAATTTTGGGCCAGTGGGAGATGTTTTGAGAAGAAAGGACTCTGGATTACTACCATTGCCTACTTGCTGATTCATTTGCATGTGTGTAGGAATCACTGGGAGATCTTGTTAAAATGCAGATTCTGATACTAAATGCAATTGCCCTCCATATCCATAAGTTCTGCATCTGTGGATTCAACTAACCTCAGGTGGAAAATATTCGGGGCGGTGGGGATGGGGGTGGGGATGGGGAGTTGCGTCTATACCGACATGTACTTTTTTCTTGTCATTCTTCCTAACAATACAGTATAACAAGTATGTACGCAGAATTTGCATTATAATAGATGCTATTAAGTACTCCGGAGATGATTTAAAGGGAGCATGCATATAGGTTCTATGGAAACGCTACACCATTTTATATAAGGGACTTGAGCATTTGCAAGGATTTTGGTATCCATGGGGTATCCTGGCACCTATTCCCAGTGTATACCCAGGGGTGACTGCATTGTATCTAAGCGGGCATTTCTAACAAGCTCTGGGATAATGCGTTTCTGTGTTCCAAGGACATTTGAATGTCAAGGGATACAAAAAGGTGAAAAGAGCAACCGGAAACTAGGCAATTATGAATTTTTAGAGTCCATTAATTCAGTAAAGCCCCAAGAGATAAGCCTGTTCCGAATATACACATGCACACACGAACAGATCAGATTGTTTCAATAATTTCGACAGCTTAAAATTCATTACTTTCTGCAAGGCAAGACACTGATCACAAAGAGCACATGACTTGTTTTTTCAGTGCTGAGGATTAACCTAGGGCCTTGCACATACTAGGCAAGTGGTCTACCACTGAGCTACATCCCCAACCCTTCCTGCAGTATTTTTAAATTACATCTCAATGACTGTAAAGGTAAGCAGAAATAGATGTGTTTGTTTTACAAGGTCACCACAATAATTGTTGATGATGACAGCACCCTAGAACCATGAGATTTCCATTAGTTTGTGTAGCACTGTCAGCTCCCAAAATTTAACTAGCTACTGCTGTTAATGTTCTGTTGGAAGTTAAAGTACAATGTGAAACAGTAAACCAGGAATGGGAGAGCTGAGAACAATGGAGCTCAGCGCTGGCGTTATGGAATTTGAGCAGTAACCTATTCATAAATCCGGAAGGTCTCTACAAAGCCACTGGTTGGTCAAAAAGTTTAGACAGTGCCAACTTCTTGGCTCTGATTGCCTTTAGGAGAATAAGCACCAACCTGACTGTGAGCATGAAGCTTGTAGAGACACCCATGTCAAGGGTCAGAGATGTATTGTCTCACCTTCCAGCTCTACCCATCACTTATAAAAGCCGGCTTTGTCACTAGCACCGGCCCAAAGCCTCTGTCCAGGGCAGCTGGAACCTCCTGGAACACTTGGTGGTGTTTGTTTACAAGCCATTGAAAACTGCCACCACTCTTGGGAGGACTCTGCTTATGCCCCTCACCTGGGACCACACTGCCCCTTGCCCAGAAAGCCTTCCTCATCTCCTCGGAAATCTGGCTTTCTAGCCTACAGCTGCTAAGCTACAGGTTGAGAAACACAGCACCAGGCAACGTCAGCCAGAAATTTTAACTGTGTCTGCAGTTCCGGCTATGCCTTTGGGAAGATATTATACTCGACTAGAAGGCTAGTCTTCTTCACATACACAGCTTATTAGATTTTAACGTCTTGTGACTTTTTGAACTAGAAAGGACAAAGGAGGAATAGCCTGTCTGTCTAGGCTGAGACAACAGGGCAACTGTGCTGTTTATCTCTGGTATTCAATGCATCACTCAGATGTATTTTTCTTTTGTGCTTTAACTTTTGATTAATCTATAACATACAAGAAAGTGCACAAATTATATGTGAACATCTCAAAGAATATTTACAAACTGATCACATCCTTCGACTCAACATCTAAACAGGAATGGATCACTCACTCTAGGCCTCCTTTCAATTAATGCCTCTCCTGTACCAGGAGAGCAACTACCTTGACTTTTAATATGCCACTCACCAGTTTAGAGTATTTTCAAACTTAAGATAAAATTCAAAAACTGACATTCTTTTTAAAAAGGGAGATGTTTATTTGGACTCACAGAAAAACTGACTTTTCTTGAGATATGATATTAAACGTTAATATTCACACCAAATTTTTTAAAGTTGCATTTTTTTCATAGTAATGTGAGGGTTCTAAAATTAAAGTGTCTTTTATAAGTCAGGTCCAATTGCTATGGACTGAACTGTGCCACCCCCCCATTCATATGCTGGAGCCCCAATTCCCAGTGTGAATATATTTGGAGTTAGGACTCTAGTGAGGTAATTAAGGCTAAATGTGGGCATAGTATGGGGCCCTAATCAGATAGGGCTACAGCTTTATAGGGAGAGCAAGACTCCTCTCCCTCTACCCTGCCCCATGTGATGACGCAGGAACAGGTGACAGTCTGTAAACAAGGAAGGGAGACCTCATCAGAAACCAAATCTGCTGAAGCCTTGCTCTTGGATTTCCTAGGGTCCATAACTGTGAGAAATACATTTCTGTTGTTTAAGTCACCCAGTCTTTAGCATTTTGTTATGGTAGCCTGCAGTTGATTAATACACCGGTTTTCTTTACAATATCATTTTATCACTAGCTTCAGTGACAATGGAAATTAAAACTGAGGCATTCGGCACAAATTTACAGGATAAAACTTTAAATGGAAAGCAAGAGAAAACAGAAAGTAGGAGAAAAGAGAGACACAGCTGTGACAATGATCAAGCCCACCCCCTAAACAAACAAAAGTAAAAGTATTGGGAAGGGACTTCAGCTTCAGAAACTGATCTGACAATGAAGATCAGACTGTCCTGTTAGGAAAACAACAGGCCTAGCTTCTGAGGTGCTACGGTAGGGTAGGCTGGGATCTGGTTGCTCATTATCTCAGTCCTGGTTTCATAGCTCTGGAGGAGTCCTTACAGCTTGAGGGGCAATTCGGTTCCCAGGAGATGATTGTTCTTACTTGGAGGGGGACAGGAGCCGCCTCTGATGCCATCGTGGGGGAGTCTGCTAGGCTCCGCTTTTCCTGGAGTCCAAGATGATTTCAGGTTTGATGACAATGACTGGACACTTCTAGGCATCACTCCATGGGGTCTAGAAATGGATATTGTAAAAGTTGGCAACTGAATGTCCCTGCAAGTCCCAGAAATTAATTCGGATATTCTCCTCTTGGTTTCCTCGGTCTTGAAGGGAGAAGAGATAAGCTAGGTAAACTGAGGAATACTGAAACTGTACTACTTGTATTACAGACACCCCTTGAGTGATTAACATGACAATGTGCAGAGCCCAGAAGGGACCTAAAGCAAAGTTCAAAGGTAATAAAGGAGACAAATAATGAAGGCAGAGATATCAAGCCTTCTCCTGCTTTAGTTGTCCATGAGGCATCTGCAGGTCCAGCTCCCAGGTCCCTGTCACAAATCCAATTTTCTGAGAAAAAAAAATGTCTGCTTGCAGTGTTGAGGATGAGCCCAGGGCCCAGCAAGGCAAGTGCTCTACTACTGAGCTACAACTACAGCTACAGCTCCCAAAGTAAGAACTTTCGAGTGCAATTTACCATTGAAGCCCCTCCTCTACATTTCAAAATGATGCCCTGGTTGTTTTTTCAATATTAGGAAAAGTGGAAACACAAAATTAATTTAATATTATCTAGTAAGGAACATAGTCTTACTAGATAAACATAATGGTACCTGTGTGCTAAGTGCTGGGGCGCAAAGACAAGACGGCAAAATCTCTCTCTTCTATGAAATTTACACTTTACCTGGCAAATTTCCATTCCTCTATGTCAGTGGCAGATTATAACAGCATCTCTAATGCAGGCTTGGGTGCCTTGACTTTGAAGTAAGGCAATAAAACCCTGTCCTTGCCACTGTCTTTGAAATCTGGGTGGTAGCTGCAGCGCCTCGCGCTAAAAGTAGACATCCAACACATGTTGATTAAAGAGGCGGCCGGAGGAGTTTGAAGTGTTGCTGGAGCGAAAGTGATGCCAAGAGGTGGCTCTCTTTAATTAACACTCTGTTGGGAAGAATCCCAGGCTCCCAGTGGAATCACCCCTAGTCCCCAAAGGGAGTACAGTATTCTATTTGCAAGCCAGTGTGATGAGAAGTGTTATCATTGAGTCATAGTTCCAAAAGCCATTGTTTTCCCCCTCTTGTAAACAAATGCCAATTAATGGGCACAATACGACTTTCTTAGAGTGGAATAAAAACAGCAACTGGGTGGCATGCAATTTGCCACCAGTACTTTACATTGAAAGACCCATTGCAGGCCACTTTTGTCAGTCAAAGAAACAAGAAATAATTAGCTAGGTAGACTAATAGGAAGAATAAGATGTTTGTGAGATCTGGGTCTTCCTCATAGCTCAAAAGGCACTGTTTGTTATACTGCATCCAACTATAAAACAAATGATCTGTCTCCAACATAAACTATTTAGACTGAAAACCAGCCAAATGAAGGCAGCTGCCACTAGATTAAAAAGTCATTTTCTCAGCCAACTCGGATTAAAAAAGAAACCTTTTACGAACATATTTCTTCAACTCAAGCAGATTTTTATTATTCTGTGTTTCAGCTGCACATAAAAATAAAAGCAGCATCCCCTGGCATGACCATTTGCTAGAAATTTAATTTCAGATAAACAGATGGTGCTAAACTAAAAATATTAGTAGGGTATCAGCTATAAAATTCAAGTCATTTAAGTATATATGTTGTCCTTAGTCTTTTCTTAATACAAAGAAATTTCTTTCTGTAAATCAATCACACCGAAAATGCACTTACCATTTATTTTAAGGATTTATTTGTAACGATGTTGAAAAAGAGGCAGTTGGCATTTCTCGCATGCCCCCTATCTCTAGGGACTCTGGACAAAAAAGAACTTAAATGTACTGTTCATTTTTTTTACATCAGGACCCGAACATAAATCTGGATACAAATTTTTAAAGGCTACAGAATGAAATCAGAATTGCCTTTATTGGCTGATTTACACGCTATTAAGGCTTGGACACACTTTGTGCGCTCGAGGATATAAGTTCTATGTGGCCAACTTCAGGGACATGCACCGGTGCAGACGAAGGAGAAAAAGGCTGGCACAGCAAATAGCTCAAAAGCAAATTTCCCAAGATTCATGAGTAATTAAAACAAAAAAATTAAAACAGATCCTCTAACCGCTCAGTGAAAGTTCCAACCCAAAAGCTCCAGCAACTCCTGGGAGTGACAAAGCTTCTGTGATTGGAAGAGCAGCTTGAATTATCTCCGCGGTGCGCAGCGGTGCGCCAAGAGCACCAGCTCGAATGCAGGCAAGTGCCAGTAGCTGGCCAGTTTTAACTGCCAGAGAGTTCAACCTAATATCTACACTGTTTCCCAAGGGTCTTTTATTTCTCATCCTGCCCCTCATACAGGTAAAGGGTTTCAATTCTTTAGAGTATACAAGTAAAGCCACAGGGTATGTACCTCCTCGCTTTTCTAGATAATACCAAACTGTTTTCCAAATGTGCTTGCTTACCAGTTCACATCCGTGGCAGCAGAGTTTCCCTTGCTTCTCCGTCCTCTCCCACACCGGATACTGTGTATATCACTCAGTCAACACGATTAAAGGCACAAATCTGGTATCGGTAGTCTACTGCAATACATGCTGCTGAAGTTTGTGGGGTTTTTTTGGTATCAGGAATCAAACTCAGGACCTCGTGCTTGCCAGGCAGGCGCTGCACCACTGAGCTATGTCCCCAGCTCTAAAGTATTTTTAAAAATTGAGTCCACTCCTGCTGTCACTGGTACCCATAATTGTGAGTTAACTAGTTCAGATAAATAAATCAGTTAACTAATTCAGATAAATGCCAGCATTGGCATTATTTTTCTAGGAAACAGAAAGCCAAGCTCTATGTGGAAATACATAAGCAGCATTAAAAGGATTAAAAGAGAAAGACGGAAAAAATACATAAAATCCTTTTGATGGGATGCAATGGCACATGCCTGTAATCCCAGCTACTTGGAAGGCTGAGGCAGGAGGGTTGTAAATTCAAGAGAACATAGCAAGACCTCATTTAAAAAACAAATGAACAAAAATCTCCTGGATTTAACACCATCTTAGTATAAATGTGTGGCTTTTTTAAAAATACTAAGTGATTTTTTTTTTCTTTTCTGATACTGGAAATTGAACTCAGGACCTTGTGCTTGCCAGGCAGGTGCTGTGCCACTGAGCTATATCCCCAGTCCAATACTAAGTGATTTTTAAAGCAAATTGAAGTTAGAATTCTCTTTACTAGTTGACGGATTTTTTAAGGCAAGTTTTCTTAACCTTAGTACTACTGGCATTTGGAACAGATAATTGTTTCGGGGGCTGTCCTGTGTATTGTAGGGTATTTAACCACACCCCTGGTGTCTACCCTCCAGATGACAGTAGCACAACCCCCTCTAGTTAGGACAATCAAAGATGTCTCTGCACATTGCTCACTGTCTCTTTAGGGAGCAAATTCTTTTTTCTCTTTTTTTTTTTTTTTTTT